ACTTTACCAGAAACAGCACTGCAGGTAAAGGTGTGCGTCTCCGGATATGAATCATGGCGAAGATGCGTGGCCAGTGGCCCTCCCTGGCTCCCACAAACAGCATCCTGGGCGCCCCGAAGAAGCCTCCGTTGAGCGCGCCGAGGCAAGATAAGGCCACCAGAATAGGAACCACAGAAGCCAATCCCCGAAGAGCTCGGTTGGCGAACGTCTGCAACGACACAGACACCACGTCAGACCGACGCTGCGCTACCACGGCCCCTCTGATTTAGTTTTTTCCTTTAGAATGCAGTATGGAGTGTAACGTCACTGACGAAAGCCACAGCGTCAGACAGCAGCAGCTCAGCGGGAGTCATCATGGTGTAGTAGGCCACATTAACAAGCACATACAAGATTGTCACTGTCACCATGGAGAAGATTATTGCCAGCGGGATGGTTCTGACAAGACAGGATACACATAAAGAGATATAAAAGCATTTTGAAGGCAGCTTGGGTTTCAAAATCGATTGACTTTGGAGCCGATGTGAGGCGCAATATACCTATTTGGGTTTATGACCTCTTCTGTGACAAAGTTCAGATAAAACCTGGAGGAAAGAGGAAAAGCTGGGACACAGGAATACAGTTCTGATGGCTGTGTGTTTAATTCATCGCTTGTCTTGCTGTTTGTAGCATTTTTTGTTAATGTACTGCACAAATATGTGTGAAAGAGTACAGTATGCTTGCTTACCATCCTCCGTAGGCATACAGGCCATTATAGAAGGCCAGTGGCAACTTGTCCAGTGTTATTAAATCAACCTCGAAACCGTTCTGGAAATTTTCTGTCTTCCCTGCCAAGAAGAAAATACGAAAAAACAGGGAGAAGCTGAGCTGAGCGCACCCTGGCCGGACCTTAACAGCTTGAAATCCACCTGTCTTTTCAGCTGTGACAGTCACGTCTTCCCACCTTTGGCCAGCGCGATGGCACCGGGGATGATGATGAGGATCAGAGCAAATATCTTGATGAAAGTCAAGGTGACCTGAGTGCGAGAGGCCGAGGTCACGCTCCAGCAGTTCACCGCCACCACGAACGCTACAAGAAGACAAGTGTGATGTGAAAGAAATATCTCTGCATCTGGTTTTACGTACAGAGTAGTAAAAAAAAAGAAGGGAAACATAAAACCACTCACTCAATCCAAGGACACTGACAAGTCTGATTAGCGCCGTGGGAGCAGCACAAGGTGCGAAGAACGGCTCCACCACGTAACGACCGAAAGCCAGGGACACATAAGAAGCCACGGCAGGCCTGGGGATGGAAAGTACATTTGGTGGAGATTTTTATACCTCTGGAGTGCCTCACAAAAACCTTTACTGCAACAAATAAATCCATAAAATAACATCAAAAAGTACTGGAAGGTGCTTTCCTGGAACTTGTAATTTAAAAAAGGGGAAAAAAGGAAACTTTCTGTTGATGGAAAGTGTGTTCACAAAATTTAAAATAAATAAATGGACATTTTTCTGGTGTTTAATGGTAAATCCACTTTTAAAACACTGACATTTGCTATTTGATCTGATGAAATAACAAATAGAATATATATATA